AAGAAGAATTTTGATGCGTTAATTGAAGTTCAAATTGGCTTATAACTCTGTAATTTCTTGTTTTTTGCTAGTAGTGTTTTAATATCTTCCTGTAACCATAAGTTTTATGATGTATTTATTGTTTATCCTAATTCGGATAATTTACATCCCACTAAAAACATTTGAAGGAATTTGAAGACAGATAAAATCTATATTTGTGTCCGAATTGCGTTACATGTAAAAAAAAATAAAGCAAATGTGAATATCATCGTGTTTATGTTTATAATTGTTATAATCGTCCGCCTAGCAACCAAGCATAAATTTTGAAAAAAAGTACAAATGCTACATCAAACCAAACCTCCAACAAAGTGATAAATTTTCATTATTTGTGTGTAAGGGTAAATGTGTAAATCAGAAAACTTGAGCACCTTCAAATCAATCATGTAACAGCCTGCACAAACAAATTTCAAGATTTCACATCATTAGTCATAATCCGTTTTTACTTACTAGAAAAAATCAAAGAAATAAGATGAACTGACATATCACATAACATGACAACCTTGTATTAACTGATGTCAATATGACAAAAATTGCAATCTTTTGTCTCACCCAAAAAGACCTAAATGCCCTTCTAATCCTCAAAATGTTGAAAATAACCTCAAAAGACTTGTTTAGTCCCTTGTAAGAAATGCAACCCTAAGGTTGATTTGGGTTTTACCATCAACACCTAAAATATTTTTAAAAGGAAACTACATTTCAGGATGATTTCAAATAACGAAAATTGCAAAAACCATATTTCAAGAAGTTACAACCGTGAAAAAAAAAAATCTAATATAAAAATTTATAAATTTTTCATTCAGTTAATTTGATAAAGAAAATCTTTTATACCTACAATAATCCACAAGTGGTCTGGAGCATAAGTATATATATCTGTGCAAGCTATTACTTATAAATGCAGCCTGGAGTACTGATTTATCACTGAAAAAACAAGAAAAACAATTGAAAATTAGCGTAAAGACTTTATTTAATGATGGAAGTAAATGACCATTTTACCCTTTGAAACATTTTTAAACCATCAAAAAGATCAATCATTTCAACATAACATCAAACACCAAACAACCTAAATTGTATGCTTCATGGGAACTCCTTTTAAGGTAGAAATTGTAAATTAGTACATTCTAAATTCAACAAATAAAAATAAAAATAATATTTTATAATTAACTTGTAAGGAGAAAAAATTAAAAACCTTGGAATGAAGACGAAATGATCGCCTTATGACAAGTCCACCACTTTCAAGAATCTCCCCACCAAATAATTTTGTGCTTCTTAAAATTCTTTCATGAGATTGACCATGGATTTGACCACTTTTGTGATAAACTTTCTTTCTTTTAGACACATTTTCCTCTCTGTAACATTTCATTAAAAGAACATAATTACTAAATTGATGTTTATACTTTTGGCTCAATGTAGAAAGAACGACTTAATACAGAAACACAAGGAAACAAAGCTTTCCGCTTTAAGTCGTGTAACACATTTACGAATTTGCCCTCATTAACTTAATGGGAAACAAAAAGAAGATTATTTATACCCTAACACTTCAATTCCTTGTGTAGAATTGATCCTTTCCTGCAAAAGTAAGAGTGATAATGTTATACCCTTTGTCAAATAATACAAATTCCCAAGGGTTTAAAATATAAATTATAATTTCTTGCATTTAACTGAAAATTTCTATAAGAAGCTTTACAAGAGTCAACATACCTCATTTTCCAAATATAGATTTCCCCTTCTAGAACATGATGAATGTTTCTCAGAAGAAAATGTCACATTTTCCAAATATTCTGAGCTTTGGTCAAACTTTGACCAATGATGTTTTGAAGGAAGAGTTTTTCCAATTTCATTACTCATGGATTTAATTGAAAACTTATTTTGGGGATAAGAGTTGAAGCTAGCATCCGAAAGGGTATTTTTGTCCAGTGAACTACTTTTGCCTCCTAAACATTCAACCTCCTGCCTAAAGCTTTCAAATTTGGGCTTTAAATGATTTTGGCATACACAAACTGTTTTTTCCATACTTCTTAACCAATCAGATCGCTTTAAATTCAAATCAACAATAAGCTGAATCCCATCTTTTGCCCCTATATGATATTTAAAAGATGGAACTACTTTAGAAGATTTCATGGAGGCAGTATCTGTTAAAAATACACCATTTTTTTGATTAATCTTGATATCAGAAATGGGAGTGTTTCCATCTAGGATTGTTTTTGAAGATTTCATTGTATATTTGGAAGTGTTCTTGTGAGATTTGAATATAGCTTGTGAGCATGATGATAATTTGTTCTTCATTTGTAAACGGGTTGACTTTCGGTTTGAAGTTTCAAGAATCTCAACACCTGGACTCTGCATTAACAATTTTCCATGAATTTTATTCGATTGTGAAAAATGAGCATAACACATGAATTTTGTTAATGTATATGATAATTATTATAGCATCCACTTTTGCTTTTCTTTTTCTATTACATCATTGTACTTTAATTTATTTCTTATAAAGGCATTGTGTACGTTAAAAATCAACTCAATTATAATTTATAGCATTGTAGTTTTATTTTTATTTTTATTTTTCTTATTAGGGCATAATACATTGAAAAACCTATCTAATGATATGAGTAAAATTGTTTTTTACTTGATTAAGTCATGTTTCTATTAAGATTTTGAAAAAGAGAAAAATGAAAGAGAAAATACCTCAAAATAACATTCCTTTTCCTTATGGCATTCTTGTTCATGGCTATCAGTTAGATAATGCACTCTTTTGTGATCCTTGTCCATAAGTTGGCTGATTTTGTAATAAATACCTGAACCAATGTTGATTATTTACCAATTTGATAAAAAAGCAGAACATATTCAAATTTGAAATACCTGACAAAAAAAAACTAAAATTCAAGCATAACTCAAAGCAAACAGAAAAGTCCCCAACTCTTGACAAAATCTACAAAATGCCCCACTCAAGCTTTTAAGAATTCACAAAGACACCATGAATTTTGTTTTTAACTTTGTCATTTTCTTGTATGAAATTTGAAGGTATAGAAATTCTAGTTCATATATTGGAAAGACCTTGGGGGGATATCCATCATATAAGTTACTTCTTCATTAATGATCTTCAATAAAAGACATTTCTAGTGAATGAAGGAAATAGTGGATTAGTATTAAACCAAAATGTAACCTTAAAGACACATATTACATCTCAATCAATGATTAGCCACTAGTTTCCCCGTTGAACAATACTCAAAAAGGAAATGAAATCATATAAAAAGGGAACTCTACATCAAATAATGAATGTTATAGCATCTAATATGGAAACAGTCGCATAGTGTTCATTTAATCCCTAGTGAGGAGTCCAAAAAGATATCTCTATAAAACTATGAGTACTTTTGTATTGAATATAGGGTTACTTAGAGCGTCATCCCCAAAATTGCAAAGATCGAGGATATGTAAGTAGTAGGTGAGGACATAGCCTAACTATTCACGAAAATGAACTATACAAGAACTTCATAGTTCATGTTCAACTCCCGTTTTAACAAATAGAGCGACTCCATGTGAATCAAAATCTGTCCCAAAATGGATCTGGTCAACAAATATCAACCCACATTCGAAAATGTTAAAATCTAAGATACCCAGAAAGCATTTTGGCATTCAATCTAAGATAGCATGAATGTAAGTTAGTCAAACATCAGAGTTTATAAGTAGCTTCAGTAAGCTCCAATTCGTGGAAACTGGATGCGAGTATGTAATGAAGGTCAGTGAGTCGTACCGGAAATGAAGATGTTGGCGTTGACAAGTCAACGAGAAGATACGCCGGAGAAAGAGGGAGGACGATTGCCGTGAAACAGAATAGCCTCGCTTCTCTTCAAACGGCTCAAGGGTCCATTGAAGCCTTTCTACGGAGAAGAGGCAAAAGTTTTTTATTCGATTTCAAATTTCCAAACGCTACCCAATTTAATTTATACTAAATTTCATTTGAGCCCTTAAACTTTTGGGTTTTTACATAGGAGTGATTACATGATAGATTCTTTCCCATCAATTTCAAATATATGGTAGAATCATATGCAAATATCACATGATGTTTATACTTTTTATTAATCGTCTTTTAAAACTTTTATATTTTGTTGAATTGAAACATTAACTTCTAACAAGGAATAATGATATATATTGCAATAATGCCTAGGATTAAAATTAAATGCAAAAAATGATTAATCATTAAAATGACTAGATTGGGTGTAGGGATGAGTTAGGTTTCGGACCATGACCTAATGGAAGGGTACCAAAAACATTGAGTTGCATTTCTCGGACCGAATAATGAACCAAAATATAAGGTACGACCAAGACCAAATATGATTAAATGGTGAGAGTACACGTTTTAAATTCAAATATATACCCAAAGTGTTAATCGTAAACAAAACCATTCATAACAATAAAAACAACTAGTAAACAAAAATCATTAGTTAATAATAAAAACCACAAAAGGAATTTTGACCTTAGTAGTATCAAGGTGTTTGAAAATATGTGCTTTCTTTATGGGATTGAGGATCCAAGTCCCGTCGTGGACAAATAAGTAGTTTAAGAACAAGATGTAATAGGTTATGTGTTAGATATTCAAATAAATAAATAAATAAACAATAAAAATCATTTCGTAAACAACAAAAAAATCATCCATAAACAATTAAAACCAAGTATCCAAACATAGAAACTCTAATCATTCATAGCCAATTTTTATTTTCCTTTTCAATTTGGATTGTAGTCTTTTCAATCTTTATAAAAAAACAATTAAAGAAACAAAGTTAATTTCAAGTTTATAATTTGTTACAAATAAAACAAGAAGATTGAAGTTATTACCTAATTTTCCTTTAAAATATCATCAATGTCGTCTGTAATCAGCTTCTTTAACTTTTTTTTTACCCAATATTGGATGCAAATTATAGACTCGACTATTGATGTTGAAAAGTTTGTTAGTACACAATCATCCACGTTTAATGAAGGCTCAGATACCACAGTCGAAATTTATATTGCCAAAATATCTAACAATAACACGTTATAAAAATATAACTTGAAAATTAAATAAAAAAAAAAACTCGAAAAATGCATAAATTAATAAAGGTTACATGTGGCCATCCGAGACAGTTAAGAACCACAAAACATTTTGTTTCCACCACTTGAAATGTCAAAGCAGGTAGTATAAGCAAGTTTTGGCTTCATTTTAGTACCTTTTTAACTCGTTTTCCATTACAATTGAGTTGTTCTCAAATGAACTATATACAAAATTCACATCTTATTTTGTTTAAAGTCGATATTGGTAATTTTTTATGTTATTTTTTTTAAGTGATTAATAACTTTCCAAATTAATGAAATTTAACATATAATACTCATGTCTAGGTAACGAAGAATACAATTTCATAAGATAACAACCTACGTTTCTTTACTTTCAATGATCTTTCCATTCCGAAAGTAAGTCCATATGTGTTTCTAAGAAACACTTTATATGTAAGAATGTTGTAATAAAAGAAAGTAAAAAGCATCCTACTTTCATTTTTTTATGTGTTCTAGTTAGAGCTGGCAAAAATCGATTCAACCCACCAACCCAATTCAAACCCAAACCAAAATTAGCAGGTTGGGTTGAGATTTTCAACCCATTTAGGATAAATGTGTCAACCTGCCTAACTCATTTAATTAAATAGGTTAGGTTGTGTAAATGTTGTCAACCCGTTTTCAACCCACCAATCCATTTAACTTTAATATATATTTAATTTAATAATTATTAAATAATACAATGTACTAATCTAAGTATTAATTTATAAATTACAATGTTATCATTATTTATGTTTTAAAAAATACAATCCTAATTGCTATCTATTTTTTTTTACCGACAACACTAGTCACTCTTCATAATCATTTCGAAATTACATATCTTTCATGTTATTTGAAAATTTTCTTTGTATTTGTGAATTGGGATTGTGCTTTTATTATACTTTGAAAGTTTATTTAAGTTTTAAACTAATTTAAATGGTGTAATATTTAGTTAATTTATTTACTTTTTAATTTTAAGTGAGTTAACTCAGGTTTAAACCATTTATTTAATAGGTTGGCTTGAGAATCATATAAACGGGTCAATCCGGTGACAACCCATTTATCTGAAATGTTGGTTGGGTTGAAAATATATACTCATTTAAATAAAAAGGTTGAGTTTGGTTCAAATCTTCAATCCAATTAATAAATTGGTTAAACTCGAATCCAACCCACATCGACCCATTGACAGCTCTATTTCTAATAGTCAACTTTTTATCTTTGTTATCCTTTTTTTTTTCTTTTTAAATTTTTTTTGTATAGTTGGTATGCAAAGATGTTTATGCATCCACATATTATGGCTGCTTATGATTATATTTTTATATGGGATGAAGATCTTAGCGTCGAACATTTTAATGGGGACAAGTATACTTATCTATACATTTATTTTCATTTTTGGCTCATAAATCATTTATTATAGCAGTAGCTTTATTTATATATGTATATAATGTTGAAGGTATATGGACACGGCTAGGGATGGAAATGGGGCGAGTTTGGGATGGGGTTGACCATCCATGTCCCCATCCCCAAGTGTCTAACCTTGTCCTCATGCCCACCCTCATCCCCGACGGATGTGGGGAATCAAATCCCCTCCGCTTTGCATTTTGGGCTTTTCCCCAACCCATCCCTAATCTATCAACATAATAAATTCAAATTAAAAAAAACCAAGTTTAATAAATGATCAAAACCATATGCCATAATTAGATTCTGTTTACATCAATCATAAAGTTTAACAAGCATCAAAACGAAAAGTGACGAGTTGGTATACAGATCGTCGAACAAAGTGAGTATTGATGAACTCTTGGAATTGAGAACATAATTTGGTATATGGACTCTATCTCTAATGGTCTAATATAGATCAATTCATTTTAGTGGACTTAA